GGCCCAGTGTTTGGGCTGCTGTCGTAGGAGTCTGGAATGCAAGCCCATTTGGACTGAGTGCTAAAATATTCATGAACTACCAATGGTTACCCCCCATTCTGACTGGGCTGGGGGAACAGCGCTGGGGTCTCTGGTGCCTCTAGAGGTGCCAGCATCTGTCCATTTGGAGGGAAAGTGAATAGTGTTTGTGTAAGCTTGGCATTGCTGGAGTTTTACGTGCTGGTGTTGTGTGTGTACATGTGTGCTTTCTTTAGACATGCCAAGTGTGTATGAGGGGCCACATTTTGATTGTATGTGTATGTGGTGTTGTCGGGTGTGTGTGTGTCTGTGTGTGTGGTTGTGTTGTTGGATGGTGTGTTCATGTCTCTGGGGGGAACTAGACATTCAGGAGAAACAACTGTGGTATTTAACTTCTTTTCTTCCAGAGATGGTGGGGAGGATCATTTTAGAAAATGGCATTCAAAAAAGAGTCTATCTATCAGGATCTGGTACTCTGTCAATTCAAAATCACCCCTCACCACACACACACACACACACACACACCACACACACACACAGGACAAGCAGGCACTTGCCTGGCAGTACGTGCTGTGTGTGATGGTGTGAGTGAAGTGAATGCGTCTTAGTACATCTGAAATCTCTGCCATTCTATATGTTATCTGTTTGTGTCTCAGCATCAGCCACATACAGCCTTAGCAGCTGTTCTTATATTGGGGTGTGTGTGGGCTGTTCACACCCGTGCTGTGTGAAGCTTCACAGAGAGCTGTTGCAGGCTTTTGGCTATGGTTGGTATGATGGACATCTGGAAGCCTAAATCCTGGGTTCAATGGCGCCTCCAAGCGCAACAGCCAGCCGGCCGGCTCCCCTTCGTGCAGCTGGACTTTGTGTGGGTGTGTGTGTGTGGTGTCGTGTGGTGTGTGTATCGTAGGCTTGGAGTGGTGGGGGGCTCTTACAATCTGGCCAGCTTGTCCTGCCACAGAAACAACACCCCTGACCCCTGCTGGACATTTAAGGTCTCTTCTCTTCCAATTTTTTTTGTTTTTTTGTATTATAATATACTCCAAACAAAATCAAATTTGTTGTGCACAACAAAACTGCTGCCTTTGAGACCATAAAGAAGCAGCACAGTTGGCTTTAGTCGCCTAACCACAATGTATTATCTAAGGAGACTGAGTTACATTAATAGTTTTAATGCAGGTTGATATTTAGAGTACTTCTTGATGAACCTCAAGCCATGTCTGCTTTCATAATGACTCAGAAGCGCACAGCAGACCAACAACACTATTCTATTCTTTTTTTGCACTTGTATAAACAACATAAAAACAAATAACACTAAATAATGCTCACATTGACTGCGAGTTTCATTGTTCTGCAAGTCAAAATTTGACCTGCTGATGGTTAAGAGGAATCCTGATGGGAACATCAATGTCTGTACCAAATCTCACGGTAATCCATAAAGTAGATATATAATATATATATATATATATATATATATATATGACAGACCAACCGATAGACTGACATCACTAGAGAAATACTTGTGAGTAAACAAAAGAAAGGAAAATGAAGAGATAATGAACAGAAATGCATGTCAATCATGATTATATATGTTTACATTTTAAAAAACCTTGAAGAGGGGGGTCCCTGATAGAGCTGGTGCCCCATGTTTTCCTGTATATCTTGAGCTGTTCTGTCAAATAAATGCAAGACAGCTCCCTGTTGGCCCCTTCAACAGTAGACAGTATAAGCAGAAACTAAAAGGAGATATACTAACTAATAATAACAGCAGCGCAAGAGAGGAGACAGTCAGAAAGATCAAGAAAGAGAGGGGTAGGGCTGAGGCACAATAAAAAGTGTAACAGATGTGTAACCAAGGTTATTTGACTCAGAAAGATGAAAGATCCATATCTGCCATCATTCATTACAACAATAATGCGATTGTGTCCTGAGGGGTATTATCCTATTTCGGTATTACGAGAAACATTTATTTGTCAACATAAATCATAATAAACAGCAGAGGAAAATACTGCTCTGTAGGTATCTGAATACCACAATGGCTGCCATAGCAACCAGTGATACATGGCTTGCAGTGCTTTATGGGAGCTGAAATTACCTACAGACTGAAATGCTACACAGCTCTTGCATACGAGGGGTTCCTTGATGATTTCGGAGACAAGCTGCTGCTGTTTTGTATTATCACAGCATCCACTGTTCAGAAAATACACATACAAACAAGAGAGAGGGGGAGAGAGAGAAAGAGAGAGAGACAGACAGAGAGAGAGATACAGACAGAGAGAGAGAGAGAGACCAACATGGACAGAGCTTTAAATAAATACAGCCACAGCAGATGCATAACAGCCGAGTCCAGGCCAAGAATGCACAAACAGCACTGTGATCTCCACAAATCTTTATTGTAAGATCTCAGAGATCATGTTGAAATGAAAAGTGTCACTGTAGCCTCTGTCTGTCTGCCTGCCTGTCTGTCTCTCTTCAGTCCAGATGTCAGAGGAACTAGCCAACAGCTGCGGCAGGAAATGAGCCCCCAGGCAGTGAAAAGGCTAATACACTTCCACACAGAGGAGAGAGACCAAAACAAAACATGCGCACACACACACTCAAAGAAACACGAACGGCCGTCTCTTGAGATAGGAGTGCAATCTGTAGCAAAAAACAAATAAATCACCCACATAGAAGAATACACATCCAGCATGTTAACAGGAGAGCCAGGAAATCACGCAGGCAAAGGGGGAGAGGGGAACGGGAGTGCAAAAAAGAAAGAGAGGGGCAAACTGGGATATAAACTGTACAACCATGAAGGGATGATGGTTGCTTGGCTTTGCACCGAGCTGTACAGCACTCTGACAATCCTGGGTTGGACTATTTCCTGCCACGATCATGCCATATCGGAGTTCATAATTAAAAGTTTCTGACTAATATAGCATTCATATCCACTTCCCAGTCAGTTACGACGGTGACACTTTCTCTAAATAAGCAGATATATCTCAGTAGGCACTTACTAATACAGACGTGCCTGAAAACAAAGCAAACATGCCTCACATCAGCCAAAACCGGCATTCAATGTAATTAAACCTAACTCTGATGGATATGGTGTTACATTGTCAGTGTACAGTGTTTCAATCCTCACACCACCAACTCTTTACAACCGTCGTAAAACCCTTTTTCCACACCCATATGACGTGAACGCGGCATTTATCAGCAGCATGTACAGTTCTCTCAGTAGTTGTAAAAAGAGGAGCTGTTCGTGTAAGAGGTCGCAGCCAGGGAACACTAAAGCAGCAGCGACAGGACTCCTCCAAGTTCAGGCCGTTTACATTCAGCACTCACATCAATGAGCCAAAAAAGATCATGTTCTGAAAATGCTTTGTTGAACAGTGCATTTGCTCTTCTGTAGACTGCATTCAAGTATGGCCACTTTGAATAAATTAAGATTTTTTAGAATCGGGCCTGTCGCTGTCAGATAGGTCCCCAGCCTGCGTCTGCCTACTTCATACAGCCATCCTGGGTCAAACAGTAGCAGATAGCAACGTGGTACAAAAACAGCACGGTGGGATGGAAAGGCCGATGTCAACCGGGCCCCATTTTCCAGAATACTGTACATGTTCACTAAACGTGGCTCTGGAAATTCAGGGTCAAGAAGAGCTGAGGAAAGATAAGAAGGCTTCAGTGATGTTGTAAGACAAGCAGTTCACCACTCAGCTGCTGTGTATTTGTAACAGAAATGCATTTTAATATAAGAGCGTAATGTTGACACTGGATTCGCTTTTTGATGTTGGTGGTATTTCATGGAAAAAGTCATGTTGGGATGCCAAATGTGGATGATACAGTAATGTTATACCAGTGTCTCACATCAGTATCGTGGCAGTATTCGCCCTTTGTCAAACTATAAAACTTACATTAAGTCAGGTAGTTTCTGACCGTGAAGTACCGTGAATGTTCTGGAAAATGGGGCTTAGGTATCACTGCTGTAATATCCAAATGAACACACAATTATAGAAACTATATTTTATGCCGTTTGATGCTATTCGCTTTGTTCCAATCACGTAGCGCCTCCTAAATATAACCAACTTTCCACAAAATGAAGGGAGAGTTCAGTTCGTCTGCCCTTGGTACAAGTTATAGGTCAAGAAATGTGTTTACGGTACGATTCAAAACTACGACAGATCTTCCTTAGTTGCTCCCCAGCCAAGATTCTCGCATCGCTCTGCCACTTTGGTTAATTTTAGGAATGCATGCATTCATATGAACATCATACACAGTTTTTTTGTTTTTTTTTTTAGAAAAAAAAAGAAAAGAAAGAGCAACAACAATGAAATCTATAAACCTGCCAACATGCCAGTAAAAACATTGAATGTTTGTCTCAAAATCAAGTGTCCAAAAAAAAAAAAAAAAAAAACATGACTAGCAAATATAAACCTCAAAACATACAAATACGACTCTGAACTGATCTGAAAACACTCGACGGTGTACAAACAAAAACTGCGACAAGCACACTTAAAAAGAAAAAACAAAAAAACAAAAAACAAAAAAAAAAGCTTTTATATTTTTGTATATACATACACACACCCTATTAGCATCCCCGTTCTTTTAGCCCTCGATTTTTCCCGGTTGTAATTTACATGGAGCAAGACAAGAGAGTTATGGTGTTGGTTAATACAGTATTATGAGTTTATATGAGAGGGAGCGACAGAAAGGAGAGACAGGAGAGAGCTCAGACAGACAGATCAGCGACAGGTGTGGGAGAAGAGAACAAAAGGGTTTGATGGGGACGGGAGAGGAGAGGAACGGTGAGTTACTGGAGATGAGACAGGATGAGGAAGGACGCTGAACGGGAAAACGAGAAAACAAAATGTGAGGTGAGAGGAGGGCGAGTCCAACATGGACAAAACTGAAACAGTATGAGTACGCCAGACACGACCACCCCACCCAACCACAGAAATTAAAGTTAAACTTAGCTCTCTTGCAGTAGAAATGGAAAGATAAGCAGTTAAATGTTCATATTTCTTGTTTTCTCTTTTTGTTGGTTTTCTTGAAGATGCATTTTTCTTTTGTTTTAGCATGTCGTTTGGGGACTTCTTGTTCCAAGCCTCTGGGTGGCTTTGTCGATCTTTAGGGCTGAAAGGAAAAAGAAAAGCACTTAGGCCCACTTTGAAAACTTCCATTACTTCCTGTAGGATGAGATCTAACTCACCACATCACACTGTGACTGTAATGGACCGCTCATGTTGCATTAAAGAAGTGCAGAAAAAAGCCAAAGAAATGTGTTTTTGAAAAGTATTTTTGCTAAATCTAACTATGCAGTTAAGTGAATAACCTTTGTTTTACTCCAAATAAACTGTTGTAAAGTGGTGGAGGAGATGGTCAACATTTAAATCTAAAGTAAAGTCAAATTTAAGACCACAGGTTCACTTTCAGAGTCCATTTATAGACCAATGCCTTCACTGGGTATAAACCACTTAACCACATATGCATGCTGATAGCAGCAGGACATTAGGGCTGTTTACTTGGCAATATCACTCTGTAGCTGACGATTTGTCTTCTTAATAAAAGGCCTGTCCTCCACTGTGTTCAGCAGGCTGTCCTTGTTGAGTTCAGAAGGGTTGTTGTAGTTTGTATTTTGGAAATAGCTGATTCACACAACAGATCAGAACACAAATAAGCCCAACCCAGAGCTCAACTGTCTGATTACAACAGTCCACAGTCACCAGTTTTTCCATATTTCTCCAACTCTGGGAGCTGCGTATATACATTTACTATTGTCTTTTACCTGTGTGACAGCAAACAGGGTCACTGGTGGGTGGAAGTTTGAATTAATGTATGAATGCCATTTGTTCCACTGACATCTAGTGGTCTCCAATCACAAACAATCCTACTCAGAGCAGTTTAAAGAACACAAATCAGACATGGGATAAAACGGCTCTGAATGCAGCTTTCTGACACAAATTGATACATAGTAGTGGTTGATAACTGACTTGTGTTGCCGTTTGTTAAAGTTATTTAACTCGTTGCTTATTTGCATACCCCCCACCCCCACAAAAAAAAAAAAACACATTTAAATAAATATCCCTGTTAAGACTAGCTAGAGTTTAAAAGCAAGAAGAATTGCTTGGTCTGCAGCTGCATGAGAACGTGTGATGGGCAAATACTGAAGACATAAAGCTGAAAATCACAGCGGTTCTTTTAACTTTCCTTTCCACAGAGCTGGCCAAAGAGTTCGGCTGAAAAAAATAGATGATGACATAATAAACCAAGTAGTATTTGCCAGGAAAAGCAGAGGAATACCTTTTAATATAGCTTTTCTGTGTTCAGCTGGCGACCTATACTAGAACCCTGTGTTGCTGTGATTGTGGGCGTTTGGGTGCGAGGTAAACGGACTTTTCAGATACCTGCATGTCTCAGGAGCCCTGGTAGGTTGCCTGGAAACGAGCGGTTTCCTCGTAGATCAGTTCCTTCAGCTTCTCCTTGGGAAGGTCATCCAGTTCCATGGAGAAAGTGAAGGGCTCCTCTGCTACTGGCTACACACAAACATACATAGTACGAAAAGCTGGAGCACCATTTCCTTCATATTTAGCTTTAAAAATAAAGTCTTGGTGTAAGTATAAGAGGCAGCTGCAGCTTATGATCCGGAGGCAGTGGTTTGAAAAAAACAGTTAGGATACTAGTACTGCTGCCAAGTGGCTTATGTAGCCTGAAGAGCGCAGTACAACATTTAAAATGTGATCAGAACACACAGTTTTAAGTGCAATCCAAACAGCTCTGGTTAAAACCATCCACAGAATTGATTTCTACAGTACAGTACAGTAACTGAGGTCCTGTCTCTGCTGACGTAAACTGAGACTGATTAGTGATTACATTCTTTAACCTCTCTCAAGCCGATCCGTGGAGCAACTTAATACTAATTGCATACCAAACACAGCTAAGAGGCTTCCCGGCACAAAGCAGAAAAGCTCGCAATTAAATCTTGGCTCATGGTTGAAACAATGACAAACAGGTTTGAATGAATAAGCCCTTCTGCCTCCAACATTTTAATGTTTTAATATTCACAGCTTCCTTACTGTTTGTACACCTTTAGCCTTTAGAAAACCTAGATTATATCCTGGACACATTCCTACACTGGGATTTATGTCGTTTCTTTTCACCTCTTACAACTGACTCTTGTGATTGTAGTTATTTCAGCAATAGCAGACTAATTGATAAGATCAGCTTGAAATGTTGGCTTCATCTGCACGTACCTCATCTGTGGGATCGTAGTACTGCTCCAGGTAAGGATGAGCCAGGGCCTCCTCGACACTGATGCGCTTGATGGGGTTAAAGGTCAACATGCGGCCCAGCAGGTCCAGAGCTGCGTTAGATTAAAGAGCTTTACTTAGTTCAGTCACAAGACTGGGCAGTAAAATGAAACACAACTGCTCTTATGGTGGTTATTTTATTTCACCCTCAAAGTGTTTATTGGATGGAAAACAACCAAAGAGTAGACAAATATAAACAAATATTTCAATATTTTAACTATATTTTCACAATTATTATATATTTTTAATTCAATGTATTGCTGGATTTTGTTTTTATTGTTTTCAAATTATACATTTTAATATTCAAATTAAAGAAAAATTATTTTACTGTCACACAAAGCTAAATAACCATCATATATTGTGATAATTTTAAATACACTTTAGTGTTATTTTCCTCCCTTACACTCCAGGTTTACAATAGAGTATGCGCTGCCATACCTTTTGAGTCCACCTTGACGAAGAGCTTCTCCCAGGGGACCTTGGGTTTGTCGGGCAGGGACTGCAGGTAGTTCCTTGCCTTCATGTTGATAATGCAGTTCAGATCTTCTTGAGATGGAGAGCCAAGGACACCTGCACAGAGAGGAGGGCGAGGGACATCTTTCAATATGGCTGCTCGACTCATCACAACAAGTCTAACATCTGAGTTACTTCGCCTTCTCTGTTAGACAGAATCTATGCAAGTTTAGTTTTTAAACTTCTAAACTTTAGGGAAGAATACTGTAAAGGTTATGTGTATAACATGCTGTTTAATTTGGTTTTATTCCATTTAAAGCAAAACCCAAGATAAAACAAGAAAATTGGAGTTGACGACAACGTGAATGATCGTCTTGCAAATAAAAATGACTCTGAACTCTTCATAGTGTTGGCATTTTGTAGAAATTAGTTATAGAAACCTTTTTTTTTTTCCCTTACCCAGTATGTGGTTGAGCTGGTCCAAATAGTGTTTCCCAGGAAAGATGGGTCTGTTGGACAACATCTCAGCCAGGATGCAGCCCACTGACCAGATGTCAATGGACTTAGAATAGCCCTGAGACACAAGCACACGTGTAGTACATACAGTCAACAAACTATGAAGCTATCCAGTCCAATAAAGAATCCACATCAGTATCTCACACACATACCTTTGAGTTGAGCATGATTTCTGGAGCCCTGTACCAGCGTGTAGCCACATACTCGGTCAGGAAACCTGTGTGGTCATGCTCGGGGTCGGCTATCCGTGCCAGGCCAAAGTCACAGATCTGAGGGGGACACAAAGGGTCAGAAACACACGTCACGCCCCACACTCTCAGACATTTCAAACTGAACTACTGACAAGAATTTGAGAGTGGGTACGGCTGCAAATGTTTTAAGCTTTTCTTCAAACCACTTCAGATGGCTCTAAAGCTCTACCAGTTCCCACTTTAATGCTTCGCTCAAGCTTTATTTTCCCTACCCTACTTTCTGATCTTCAGGCCCTGTTGTGACATGTTCAAAAATGATGTTTATTTTACTGGAAAGCTGAGAGCAGGCGGTTGAGTTTCTTTCAATGTACTTCAACTTGTGGTTTCCTACATTTCCCAGAATACATTTCACCAACCCCTTAATGACTTTGTCAAGCGTAAAGCTTTTACATTTAACTTATATCCCGTGGCTATATTTTCTCCAATACAAAAAGGAGTGTATGTAAATTATTATTATTATGTTACAGTTCAGTTTGGAAATATGAATATTAACACAAAGGCTGCTGCCGCCAACTTACTGCCACGCCTTTTACACATTAAACATCCTGCAGCTGTATTGTGTTATGGACAAAGCCTTACAATAGACACCTTTGCCTCTATGATTCTAAGGTACTGACACCTAACTGGTCTGCCAACATAAGAAATATGCACACTTGAACAAAGTGGAATGATTCTACAGTGTCCCAACACAATGTCATTAATATGAAGTAGTATCTTGAAAAGCAGATTAAACCTAGATAAAAAAATAGTAAAGCCAATTCCATTTAGATGAGATATGATACACACTCAGACCAACGGGACACTGGAGGAGGGACGGCCAGGGCTCATGTGTGTTATAGTGAAACTCTTGAAAGGCATAACGACGACATAGTTCAAGGCTTTAAGTCTGCATCATTAAAAGAGTAACTCTGACTGAGCCATGGTAAACAAGGAAGGGCTGAGGTCAATCCATCTCCCGTATACTACATTCCTGAGATTCCTTTTCAGTCTTGTTGAGAGCTGGTGTAAGTTGCTAATGGCACCAATGTTTAAATAAACATAAATGGAACCATTTGATACGGAAAAAAGGCCTCTTTTCTAACTTTGGTCACCCAAAAATGAGCCTGGCACTAACTTTAAAAATACAGGGAATGTTTAATATATACAAAATATATACTACATTTACAACATACTGTACAAACGCAGGATTTCCACATACACTATATATACATATATCTATCTACTGTGTAAAGCATGCATCTGTAGTGTTTTGGCACTGCACTGTAGGTGTATGTGTGAAATCTACCATAAACCTAAAATAACAAACATAAACCCAAAAATGACCCTCCTTTTTCTGCCGTGGGGTACCAACTGCTGACAAAATAGACACAGTAGCCTAGTTGTCACCACAGACTGTAAAAAACATGGACGTAGTCACCCAGAGGTTTCTGAAGAGCTGCTGTGACGCTCAGTGTGGTGGCTGGCTAGTCCAAAAATGGGTAAAGATGTGGAGTGCGGGTGGAGCTGAGGTGACTGAATTAGGCCTGGCTACTGATTATGAATAACTTTAAACCTTAATATAATTTAAACAGGTGAGTTATATAAAACTCCTAAGACCCCTGTACAGTTGTCATGAAGCATTAGGTACAGAGAGTGAACCTGTTTTTTGTACCATGCTGTAAACATGTCTGCTGTAAAGTTGAGCCTTTTGAATATAGGACCTTTAAAGGACACTGACTTATAACTGGAGCCAGCCTCAAGTGGCCATTTGAGGAATGGAAAGGAACTGTAGTTGTGTTTACAGGAGCCGCCCCATTATAGTCGACTTAATCGTTAGTCGATGTGAAGAGTCTTGGTCGACCCACTTTTCATTATTTGACGTGTTCCAGAAAAACAAAAACAACGTCGCACCCCGGTCGGGAGCTGCGCCTTGTTCCCGGGACAACAAGACTGTATGATGTTACACTGTGTTTAAATAATGAAGTTCAGTTCAGTCTGCTGCCGGTTGTTCTGACACATTCAGAATCATTACCTCCTTTTGTGATATCGCTTTTAACAGGCAGCTGCTAAAATATTATTTTGTAAATGATTCAATTAATATCATAAACCTTAAAAATCCTAAAACAGGACTCTTGCTTTCAGGGTATTATACACTAATAAAAACACACCTTCAAATATTATATTTCATTTCTGCCAATAGAGCCTCCTAAATGTTACACACTGGACCTTTAAAATAATATTAACAGTTAATACAAAATTAGTAATATTCTAATCAGTAG